GCACACAGCGAGATAAGGGATGTTACCAGATCTCAATGAAGCTGAAGGAACTGCTAAACCTTCAATGGCAGCTCGACTTCAAGCATATCTTCAGGAAAGGGAACCAAGTCGCAGATAAACTCGCCACTATGAGCAACGAAATGAACCAGAGAAGACTCAGTTGGAATACGCCGCCGGATTGGGTTGAAGAACTTGTCAAACTTGATGCTTCTGGGTTTGAAACCCCGTGAAGAATAGTTGCCATGTAACTAATGGGCTTGGCCCCTTTATTTCACCAATTAAAAAAAAGAGTACACAGCGAGAAAATGGATGAGAAAAAATATATCAATAGGATTTAATACTCTCCTTAATAAGAATAAAAGTGAATATTTTATCTGCTTAATGTTATTTTTAATTTGTGAGAAATTTTTATAAATAACAAATAATAAGGACCTGGTACAATGATTCATGCTAAAACCAAAGACAAAATCTTCACTATTGAGCCATGTCACCTACAATCATAAATATATATACGTTTGAAATTTGGAATTAGAGAATGATCCCTATTCAAAATTCTTGATAAATTAGATCTCCTTTTCAAAATTTATTTAGAGAATGGTCTCTAAATATATGTGAAGTATTAAGGTGCTTTAAAAGAAATTAAAAAGCATATAAAACTAGTGTGCTGTGATCGCCAAGCTAATCAGGTAGCAGACTCCCTAGCTGCAGATGCATGGAAAATGCCGGCGGACTATCAAACTGTTTCGGTACCTACTGATCACATGTTGCTGTTGCTACAAGCTGACAAAGACCAGATGTCGAGTCATGTGATAGCTGTTGTTTAGTTTTTACTCTCTCCTTACTATCCAAAAAAAAAAAAGCATATAAGACGACCACACTTCTCTTAATGAAAAATGCCGTTGCCTTTAATTTCTTACTGTGCAAGTGACTTCTCTTAATATGCAACCAGCTAGCTTCCATAATTTGCAATTAGATTCCATACTGGGCAAGTGGTTTTTTCAAATATGCAATTGTCTTTCTTTATATGCAATTAGCTTTCATAATGTGTAAGTAGTCTTCTCTAATATGTGTACAGCTAGGAATCAGGACCGGCCCGGCCCTCCAGGACTGACCCTTCAGGGCTGAAATTTTAAGAATACTCCAATTTGCTAGGCTCGTCCCTTAGGGTGTGTTTGGTTGGAGGGGAGGGGAGGGGAGGGAAAATGAGCCCCTCCCCTCATTTGGTTAAAAATTTTGGAGGGGAGGGGAGCTAAAATGTCCCCTCCCCTCCCCCATTTTGGCTCCCCTCCAAATTGGAGGTTTTTGGAGGAGAGCCAAAATTTTGGACCATTATACCCTTATGGTTTTTTTAATATTCCACTTCTATCCATAAAATATATTATTATAATATTTATTTCAAATAAAAAATATATTATCCTAAGTAAAAGAATAAAAAATATATACATTATTATAATTAAAAATATATTATAAAAATTATTTAAAATAAAAATTTATTTAAATAAAAAATTATAATATATAAAATTAATTGTTTTTTATAAATATATTATTTATTAAATATATTTTAAAGCTGGAAAAAAAGATAGCCTAAAGAAAATAAAATTTCATTTTTCTTAGAGCATATAAAATTTGTTAATTTGATTATTTTAAATATATTATTATATTAATTAGAATAAAAAATTACTATACCAATTTTTTAATGCACATATTAACATGATAAGACTGAATTTTTATTAAATTATATAATTTAAATTAAGATGTAAATTAATTTATATAATATATCAATAAAAAATATAAACTAATATGTAAGGGTAAAATGGTAAATTGATTATTACTATCCCTCCCCTCCCCTCCTTGAACCAAACAAGGGATCATTAAATACCCTCCCCTCCCCTCCTTTTTAATCAAACCAAACAAGGTGAGGATAAAACCTCCCCTCCCCTTCCCTACCCCTCCCTCCCCTCCCTCCCCTCCCTCCCCTTCCCTCCCCTCAAACCAAACAGACCCTTAAGCTACAGGGCCAAGGCTGGCCTGCGGGCTTTTGGCCCGTTTAAGAAAAAATACTATTTTTTATACTTATTATATTTTTTTATAAAAATATAAAAATAAACTAATGAAATTATTAATAAAAGACATAAATATGAATAAATTAAGTCACAAATATAAAATATCATCATATATAAATATTCATCAACATCTAAGAACATCTAAAACATTCATTAACAAGATAACAACATCTAAAAGTTTTATCTATAATGCAATTGTGCAATAAATAAACATTATCATTAATCTTTTAAAACTTCATCATCACTATAATTAATTACTTTTCTTCATAAGTATGCTTTTCTTTCGTAACAAAAATATCAAGTTTTTCTTCTTTATAAGAATTTTATTTCTAAATTCTGCAATCTAACTATTATTTTACTTTAATGTGAGAAACATTGTTGTTGAAATTCATGAATTTCTAATTCAAATTATAGAATCACAAGTTATATAAGTATAAAAATATTCTATTATCAAATATATATATATAGTTTAAAAATATCAACACATATAATATAAATTAAATCATTATTAAAGTCCAAATTAATCCATTTTTAAAAATTTAATTGGATAAATTATTGTCTAAAACTAAATTTAATTGTAAAATGATAATAATAACTAAATATTTGAAATATTATTAACAATGTAAAAAATTAATAACATTAATATTATATAAAAAAATTTAAAAAAAAAAAAATTATAAAAGGGCTTAAAGGGGCCGGCCCTCCAGGGCTTATTTCTCATTTTAAGAGAAAAATATCAAACCCGACCCTCATAATTTCAGGGCCTAAACGGGCAGGCTTGACGAGCTCGACCCGTTTTCCCGGCTCTAAATATGTGATGACATTTCTTAATATGCAATTATAGCTTCCATAATGCAGTTAGTTTTGATATTGTGCAATATGAATTGATATGCGATTAGTTTCACCAAAATGCAATTAGTTTTGATATTGTGCAATGGCTAAAAAATACTGCAAATTAACTATAAAATTTAATGAAGAATTCTGTTGCTAAATCAGTTTAGCAACAGAATTAGCAAATTCTAAGGCTAAATTCAGCCACTAATTTACGGTTCCTTATGGGATTAAGCTGGGAGAAGCACCCTCAATTATCTTTTGAAGGGCATTCAAGGCTCCAAACTATTAAGGGGTATAATTTTATCCTTTATTTATTAAAATTGATACAATTCTACTTAAATTAATGGACCCAAAGCTTCCATTTTCTCCCCATCCAATCGGTTGTCCTTTTGCGATGTTCATTTCAAAAAGCCTGAAACTGAGATTGACCAAAAACACATCATCCTCATCCTCTTGCCTCTGCGGGCTCGATCTTTGGTCGTCCCAAAGAGAAGCGCAACGTTTCTTGAATCCTTAATTCTGCTGCCAAACCTTTTTCCTCATCGTCCACAACTACACTCTCCAGCTCCCTGCCTCAATATCTCCAGATTGTTACGGATCTCCTAGCTCGGCTTGTGGAGGAATCGCCTTCTCTTATTGACTTCGACGATGCCATTTGAGAAATTGCAAAACCACACAGATTATTTCATATGAAAAGTGGTTTGAGCCCATACCACAATGCTATTTTAATACGAAAAGAAAAGAGTCTGGCTCTTGTAGTGGTGTGTCTATAAAAGATGACTCTTAATCCCCATATGAGGTTCCAGCAAAAGGAACCTCGTTCCTACATAATCATGTCATTCAACTTCTGTTCAATGTTGATATTGATTGGAAAAAAACAAAAGAATCCCCACGACTCATACAATTTTTTTTTTGGTAATATCTCATGAACAAATTAGTAAAAACACAAACTTTAATCATGTTGGCAAGCCAAATGGAAAGTGTTTGTCCAACCAAATAACAGCCCAAAGAATGGGAATAGAGAAGATGAACATCAAGAAATTGAGGATCCTAAGAACAGTGTGGCTAAGGTGAAAAATGTTGAGGATTTTCAAAGAGAAAATGCAAATTATATAACAGAGAAGGAGGGGAGAGTATATGTAAAGTGGATGGAAGCACAAAAAGGAAGAAGAGGAAAGGTAGGAGAAGGCGAGAGATGCATGGTCGGATGGAGCCAATTGAGATGGGGTGAGACACGCGGGATTGAAGGGGAGAAGATGGAAATTTTTCAGTCTGTTAATTTAGGGTGAAATTGCACCAATTTTAATAGATGAGGAATAAAATTACACTGTCTAAATAGTTCAGGGTGGTGAATGCCCTTAAAAGAACAATTAGCTTTCATAATGTGTAAGTGATTTTCCTTGACATATAATGAGATTTCCTAATATGCAATTATAACTTTCATATGTGCAAGTGGCCTTCTCAAATTGTGCAATATGAATCAATATGCAATTAGCTTTCATATTATGTAATTACTGAAAAAACAGCAAATTAAAAATGAAATTTATTGAAGAATTCTGTTGCAAAACCAGTTTAGCAATGGAATTAGCAATTTCTAAGGCTAAACTCCATTACTAATTCATTGCTTTCTGTAGTAAAGAGACTTTACTAAAATGCAATATGAACCAATTAATATGCAAATTTCTATCCAGTATGCAATTATCTTCCATTCTATGCAAATGAAATTCCTCTATATGCAATTTACCCAGCTTTTCACTGCCAGATTGGAGCTTTGGCAAAACCTATAGTGATCAACGGACAGTCGGACACCGGGGAGGACACAGGGAAGGAGGACAACGTTGGCGAGCAAAATGGTTGCCCTTTTTTTCCCCTTGTCTTCAATATTTCTCATCTATTAAACTTTTAATTGTAATTTGGTCTTTCTACCATCGCTCTTATTTACACTGAAGGATCTTAGCTTAGACATTTAGAAGATTTGAAGGACCATTTCCCAAATAAATTTTCGGTTGGGGATTTTTGCCTAGTTTTTCCTATATAGAAAGGAGAAAAAGGGGTGAAAAATAAAAATGTGTGTGTGTGGGAGGGGGGGTGGGTGTTTACAAGCTAGTTAGAAAGTAGAATGTATGAAACCAGAATAAGTAAGATGGGACAATGAAGGATTTTGTCTAAACCAGGAGGAGAGTAAAGAAGGTCTTGGAAGTATGGAAATGGAGGGTGAAGATCATCACCAAACTCTTGAAGCGTGATGTTAGCATCAGCCTCAATGAAAATGACACCTTCTCTATTACATTCCACCATAAGTTTCCGACCTTCACCTTCCTTGAGTCTTCCTGCGAATGGATAGTAAAATACAAGTGTTTGAGCCAATGCTTCTTTAATGACTGTGACAGGATCTTTCCCTGCAATGGAAGGCTTAGGATGATGCAAGTGTATGAATGGAATTTGGATACACAAGGCATCTTGGTTATCTCTGTTTGGAAGAAGCTTTACTTCATGAGGAGTAGACTTCGCCGGTGATATGAGCTCCGGCTCCTTTGTTCTCACAGTGAAAACAAGATCAGAAGGAAATGGTTGTACCATGGAGAAGATGAAGAAAAGAAAGAGAGAGCAATAACTGAGCAGTATGTATGTTACCTACAGTCTTTAATATAAAACCTAGTTAGAATTCAAATTTGATTCTAAATATAAAATTTCAATCCATTTTATCTCACAAAATTTATAATCCATTCTCTAAAATATCCCTATTCATTACATATATCAAGAGGATTTCCATCTAAGGGTAATTATGATTAAAAGGGACATAGGGAAATTAACTCATTTGCTATAAAAAAACGAACTTAACCAATTTTCTTAATCTACTCAGATTAGTTAAATAGCTATTATATGAAAAATTAGAAGAAGCTTTTTCCACGTGCTTTATAGATGCCATGGATGGAGCGTAAATTTACAGGTATAATGACCCTTAATTTTGAGAACTCAATTAAGATCGTAATTAATTTAAAGGATTTTATATATAAAATTCTCAATAAAGCAAACATTTTGAATTTAACTTATAACTTCATAAATAATCAGTTGAAATGTCACTGGAAGAATAATAAACTACAATATTTTTCCAAAAACATGTCATTTAAAATGTTAGCGTCAGAAAGTTTTTCCAAATATTATTTTTCCTCTGAAAGCTGCTCTTGTAATGAACTGATGTTTACATATGCGATTGTGCTTTTGGTTAGATTGGGTTATTGGGAGATTAAATTCGTTAAATTAAATAATTATGTGGATTAACATGAATTAATTAATTAATGAGAATATTTAAATTTAGTTCAGTCCTAACTTAATATTAAGCACACAACAGATCGAAATAAGCTGTGTTATGCATAAGCCTACTTAAGTAGATGCTTCAACCTACAATCTTTTTCAGGAGAAAATTACTAGAGGGTCTCAAAAAAAGAACATATTTACCGGAAAAAAGTCATGTAATAACTTTACAGCTTCTAATAACAATAGGTTCCATTCGAGACTTTCTGTAAAAAAGAGGACTGTTTAGAATGCGATCACACATATTCATTCCTAGTTTTGCTACATGCATGTCCATTTTCAATGACTCTCAAATATTTTATCTTACTGTTATGTGTAGCTTGGCCTTAGATCTGAAATCGTGATTGAGGATCATATTCCTGAAGAACATCATGGTGCACCACGCAGATCCGGGAGAGGTTCCCCATTCCAAACGAGAAAATCAGAAAAAGCAAGCCTACACACACAGAAGCATTGATATGTGCAGATCTTTTACCCCCAACAGAAATTTTTAGGGAGCCTTGTCTTCCAAGTTAGTTCCTTTGATTCTTAATATAAGAACAAGTTGAAAATTTGATTTAGTCCTAAATATAAGACCTCAATCTACTTTATCACTCATCTTTTTCCAAAATATTCCTATAAATTGCAAGGAATTCCTACCAAGAGATCATTCTAATCATTTATTGAAGATATCAATGTACATTTGTAATAAGTAACCAACTTAACTAATTTTCTTAATTTTTCTAAATTAGTTATCTAGTTCTTATATTAATAACCAAAAGTAATACAATACAATGGAAATTTATATTAATTTAATAGCAGTTGTGCCTGCCAAAAATTGATTCGGGGATTTAGTCATAGTGCTGGAAATGGTTTGTCTTTTCGGATGGCCACAGTTGAATGTGACAATCTGTTACTTGGCAGTGATTATTCATCCATCGCTATATTTTACTTTGATCAACAAATTTTGTGTGTGTGATTAGGATCCCCTTTGGTTACATATTCTATACAGCTAAAGAGAGATAAATATATAATAGTTGACTTTAGCCTCTATATAGAAGTACAAGTCCCCCAATACTTATCAGGTTACACAGTTAGAGAGGACTTAAGTTAGCATGTATGTCTAATCTAATTCACCTTCCCTCTTCATCACTATCAATCAACATATCAATACAATATAAAAAGACCTATAGCAAGTTGCACTATTTACGAGTCCTTGTGAAATTGATCCATTCAACTTCAATTTACAGCCTGAGCAGAATATCATGCCGGATATTCTGCATGTTACTCAACAATTTCCATCTGATATCAGCAAAAATGTCAGCCATAGGCATCCATTGCATAGCAGCTATAGCCAGTTTGTGGGCATCATTCATAAAAATTACTTCTTCAGTTCCTCTCATTGTCATAATCTATAACCTAACCATAGTAAGTACCTTGAACCTCTGCTAGCTGCTACAGATGTAGGGAAATGGAGTGAGAACAAGAGAGGGGTTACACGGGCTCCATCCCATCTACACAACCAACCCCCCCCCCCCCCAAAGAAAAAAAAACCCCAAAAATCCCCTCCTCATGCAAACCATAGCTTGAGGCTTAACAATAAGATTCTACCATTTCACATGCAAAGCATGCAACAGCCAGTATCTTTTGTAGCAGTACTAATGGAGTTATTTTAGTCTAGCTGTAACAAGAGCCACGGGCACTCCATATAAACAGGGCAACAATAGCATCGAGTGATTTTGCTAAGGTTACAGCTAGAGATTCACTAGACCCATTCTTTGACAAGCAATATTACATAATCTGTGACTCATTAACCATGTGGAGCACAAGAGATATGCCCAGTGCCATCGTCCTCTCCTCATGCTCTTGTTCTTGATAAGGTTCATCAATAAAGAAACCTCATACGATGAAGAGTAAACCGATGGATTGATCAATGATAATCATTATGATAATGTTTCATCTTAGGAAGAAGAAGAGTTTATTCAAACATGTAGATTAATGCTAAGAGTTAGAACATTAGTTAAACAACGATTTAAATTCTTAATGTTTATAGCTAATCAGAGCATTTTGAATCCCTTAATCTACAAGTGCACTCAATGCTACCAATTAATATGAATCCAACCCCTGAATGTGGAACACATAGTCAATAAGCTCCACAGAAGCAGACATGAATCATACAGCTCAATTAATAAATGAACCTAGTCAAAGAATCCTAAACACTCATAAACCATGCAGCATGCTGGATTTTAAAACTGTACTTTCTAAAATGGATTGGCTAACCTTAACTTATAGACTATAGAAGATGGCATGTCTTATATCCTGTCTCAAAAACTCAACTGCCCACTTTGATCCCTAAATCAACTTCAATAGAGTGGAATTTCTATGGCCCTGTATTGGTGACTCAAAAAACAGCCATAAATTTTTAATCCTGAATCTCCAGTTAAAGTTCAAAAATAGAGTCTAAACTAAATGGCACTTAATATTTACCAAGAGGGGAAAATAACCAGCTGATCAGAAGGCACAAGATACTGATTCTAAATGTGTTAGAAAGTCGAGATAAATTGTAATCAATGTAAATATCGGAATCCAAAAGCAGACAGAAGCAGTATAGACCTCACATCATCCATTCTCGCCAATATTAAAAGCCACGATTAAAGTAGCATCAAACACTATAAGCTCACTTATCACAACGAACAGCTCAGTCTTAGTAAGTAATAACTGGGGGGGGGGGGGGGAAGCCTCCATTGAACAATATTAGAACTTGAAACTAATCATTTAAAACAGAAAATAACTTTCTGTTGATAATAAGACTAAAGAGTACTATCCTTCAAGCCTTTGATTACTTCTGCGAGGAATTGGGTCCCCTCTTCTTCCCGAATCCTACCACTGCAATTACAAGAACAAGGATCAGAATCAGAGAACCAAAATTACAACATACCAAGAAAAAACTGATATACATAGATATAGAAATCGAGCAATTTTTTGAACTAACCGGCAGTGACGAATCGGCGATTGTACTGCATGCGCTTGTAAGCGCGTCCCCGGGGCTTCTTCTTCTTGTCCTGCTTGGCCACTTTGGGGGTTTGCCCTCTCACTTTTCCAGCACGAGCCAACGATCCATGAACCTTACCTGCAATTCCGGTAAACCCAATAAATCAAAACAATCAGAAATCCAAAGAGATCGAGAGTTGGGTAACATAGCAAAATCAGTGAGTTGAAACCAACCCATGTTTGTGGATTGACGAGTTCGCCGCCAATTGCTTGTTGTACTCGGCACAAAAACGATAACAAGGAACAGAATCCTCGGGTAGAAAGCTAGGGTTCGATTTTTAATCAAATGATTTATTTCGGCTTTTGACTTGGGAACTTGGGGTAATTACACTTTTACCCAATACACCAATTTAATTATGATTTAGAACTAAAATATTTTAAGCTACTTAATAAAAATTTAATTGCTTAAATTAATACACCTCTGGTCCTCAATATAAGACTTCATTTGACTTTTATTTTAATCCTAAATATAAGATTCTAATCCACTTTGTCTCTTATATTTATGTATTTTTTTTTTCAAAAAAGTCTTTCTAATAGTGATAATTCAAGCTAATATACTTGATTGGCAATGATATTTTAGGAAAAATAACACATATTTATTATAAAATAACTAATTTAATTTATTTTCTTAATATTCTCAAATTAGTTAACTAACTCTTATAATTAGAACCCGAGGTAACATATACTGACTAATAAATAATAGAAAATAAGTGTTAGCCACTTTTTTAAGGGGTTGGGACAGGCACCCCACACATGCGGCCTCATGCACATCATCACCTAACCTAATGCCCTCCCTTAAATTTTTTGGCAAACTTTTGGATTAATATAATTTTGATTCTTAAAATTTGTACCTATTTTGATTTTATTTCTAAAATTTAAAATTACCGTCGGCTATTAAATATTATCACTTCTTCTAATAAAACTTAGCTTCTTTCACTAAGGCCAACAATCAATGAAAAAAAGGGACCGGATTGGCCAGTTCAACCGAAAAACCGGTGAACCGGCCTCCAGTCCTGTCTGGTTTGAAGAAAAAACCAGATTCAAATGAAACCAAAATGAACCGGAACGAACTGGAAAACACCAGCGAAAACCGAAAAAATTGTTGGGTTGGTGGGTCGCCGGTTTTCTTTTTTTCCCCTTACTTCTTTTTTACTCTTACCGTCTCACTGTTGACCGGAGCAGACATGGATACTGTTGAGAGAAATGGTAAAAGCAGGAAAAAAAAAATCACAAAA